GGCCCGTCTACGAGGGGAGGTTCACCGACAGGTTTCCCGAGCTGTCGGCCGTGAGTGCTTTCGCCGAAGGGGTCCCACCGATGCCGCGGAGCCGCACGACCGTTCTCTGCACCTTTCTGGGGCCGGGGTCTCGCCGTGGGCTGAGGGAAGAGGCTGGAGGAGGCGCAGCGTGTGGGGCAGGCAGGCGCACCTCGCCGCTCTCTCTCCCTCCAGAAATGCGTGCGGCTCCCTTTTTTCTCCCCTTTTGTCAAAACGGGGACAATCAGACAACATCTCGTGCAAGGTGTCAGATTCCAACTTGACTAGTTGTGCTTATTAGTACAATGGGATTGGTTATGGCTTATTTTTTGATTGTATTGTTTAGGCTGGAAGGTTGCTTCCCACTGGTGATACAGCTGCGAGTTGCCTCACTGAGGTTTTACCCAGGGTGAGTTTTTTTCAGACTCCGCTTGTGAAACTTGTAATAATTTCCCATTTGTGATTGTGCTTTGAGACAGGCCCTAAAAAAAACCCAAAACAAAACAGTGAAAACTTAAGTAATTTTTTCTACATCCCTTTAGAAACTACTGGGTTGTTTTCAGTGTTGGTTTTTGTCACATGGGTCATACAGAATAGCTGGTAGGATTGTAAAACGCTTCTGGCAGTTCTTTTTCACTCTGCATGTTTTACAAAAATCACCATGCATACTTCGATGGGACTAAATAGAATTGTTTTAGACAGCTTTTCTCTGGTAGTACAATGATAGTGATTATTATTAGGAATTATTATTACTTCTGTTGGAGGTCCTTCTATATCAAGGATGGCCCTCACAATTGTGCTTCCCACTGGCCCTTCCATATGCCCCTGAAGAGTCAGGGAGTGCTGAGGCACAAATAGATCCCTTAAATAGCAGCTGTTCCTTTAAATGGATAATTAAAAAACCAACAGCTGTGGTTAAAATAATTTCTGTAATTGCTTCATTGATGGTGGAATTCTTGTGAATCAGGGTTAAAGGTTTCTGAAGTTAACAAATGTAGCACCTACTTCTCATGAAGTATACGTGAAGAAGCTGTTATCCATCTTAAACATGGAATCAGATAGTTGAAACTTAGCAACTCTCTCATTACTTCTGTTGCTGGTTTGATAAAATTTAGGCTGGGCTATGTTGACCTTATGGTCAGAATATCAGCATCTGCAGGAGCATATGCATGTGCTACAGCCCTAAAATGTCCTCAAATTTTCTTCTTACTGCTGTGGAATCACACTGAAATGGCTGCAGTACATTTTCTTTTCATTAATATTTTGTGAATATCTGGTGTAAAATTGTTTTTGCTTTGCCTTGTATATAGCCTATTACTCCAACTACTGTGCGAAAGTTTCGAAATACAACAAATCCAGCTCCAGGTGCTGAAAGAATATTCTACGGCAGAGCAGATGATCCTGACATTGCAGCTCACTTGACACACGGCGTAGAGTCATGTTCTTCACTCGGTGTAAGAATGTGACTCGTTTACTTTTGTTTAAGAATGGACCGCTTAAGAATGTCCTTAATAAGAGCAACTGATTTCTTCATAGTCAGGGATAAAGGTACATAGCTGAGTGATTTACACTGCAGCGTTTCACCACTCTTGTGGATTATCTGAATTCTGAGGTCAATTCATAGGATTTGACTGGCATGATTGAAATAGGAAAACACCTGAAGTTCAGTGACACTTATCTTACCAGTGACTTAACTTTTGCAATGACTACTGAATTATTAATTTCATTTCCACATTTAAGTTAATGAATAGTCTTTTACCCATAAATTTTGCTGCTTTCTTCTTTACTGATTACAGAGGTAAACCTGTTGAGCTCTTAGCGAGAGAACTGCTATCTGAGAATGTGTTTATAGTTCAGTGTAATTATTATGTATTCTTTCTTACCTTTGGGTTGAAACTGATTTTGTTAGCTAAAAAGTGATGTTTTGGATATGTCAGACTATTTTGCGTGTATTCTTTACTTCAGAAATTATTTTTGTGATCTGTAATCAAACAACTGAAGAGATAATTGGTGATTTTATCACATACTTATTGTTCAAATCTCTAAAAATAACAGTTGTGTTAGTAAAATACACTTTTATGGTGCATGTCATCAGCTGAGCTTGTAAATTAATAGTTTTCAATTTTACAAATTCAGAAGTTGAGGCAAAGAGGAGTTCAGGTATCAAAAACAGGTCTTCAGGTTGAAACGCGTAAGTCCTGATATTAGAGGTTGTTGAGTAGGACATTTATTAGGCATATCCAAAATGAAAAAAAAGGTTCTTTATGTTGCTCCTCAGAAGCTTTATGTTGAATGGAGTGATTTGTTTAGCCTGTACTGTCTGTTGAAGGCTGTTTCACTTTGCATTATTATGTACATTTTAACTGGAGGAAGAGTTGGAATCTTAGAGAACTCACTAAACATGGGTTTGGATCAATTGTGTTTACTACTACTTTTTTTAGTATTTCTTTATGTAACATTCAGCAAGGGTCTAGTTATAAACCCTCTTCAGAGTACCCATTACTTTGATGGGTAACCTGAAAAATCAAATTATTTGGGAAGATCAAAATACCCTGTTTTGTCATTTTTGAAACTTCTATTTTTGAGATTTTTTTTTTTCCCTTTGAAGTTGACCTAATTTACAAGTAAGTTCTATTGACCCAAGGCCAGTGTGTACACTGAGAAAAAAAAATTGTCCAACCTAGTGCTAAGCTGTGAAAACCTTGCTGAAGTAATTTCTGTTGGTATGTTGTTTTAGGATGCAATATTAGTGTTTATCTTGAAATGCTATCTTTAAATTCTGCATCGGCAGAATTGGGTGTAGCGGTTTAGAGAATAGATAGTCTTAACTGCTAGGCAATAGATGTTTTTAATCATAAGCACCAGGACAGTTCATTCTAAAGATGTCATAACTATAATAATTTTCACAGTGAAGTTTTGGCCATATTATAAGTTGACTATAGTTTCTAATATATGCTAAGAACAGAAGGGCTGCAATCTGCAATTGTATAAACTAACAAGTGGAAAAACTCGCATAAAAATAAGAAGATCTGTCTTGCAATATGTATTTTATTTAGCTGGAGATTTAGCATAGCATTGATTATTAGTGGTCTTCTCCCAAAAAACAGTTTTGTTTTGCACCTTTTTAGATAAAATTATGTCAGTGTAATCATATAAGATCTCGGAACATTTACGATCAAACTTCTGTTCGTGTGTGTGTGTGAAGGGAGTGGCCATATTGATGTGTGAATGATTAAATTTTCCTGGTTTTCCTGCCACTTGTGTTGTTTGTGATGTCTGTAGGGAGCTTCATTGATAAATCCACCTCCTAAAACTAATTTTCAACAAAAAATGCAAGACAAAAAAGAAGCAATCTACTTTAGTAATCGTCAAGCACCCTTGGGCAGATCACATGATCAGTCTTCTATGTTACCTAAGGGCTTGGATATAATTAATACTACATTTGGAACAAAAGTCATCCAAGGTAGGAAAATTTAGCATTAAAACATATTTCTTCTAAGTACAAGATAATCTTCAGTTTAATATGTAGCACATATTCTATGCTTCCAACAATTCCAGCTTAATAGAAAAGTTATTATTATAGCAGTTATTGAAAGGCATAAAAACGTACTACTATTTTTCAGTTATGATGAAGAAACAAACAACTGAGAACATTTGGTAACTAGTAGGGCTTTTGGCTCTGTTCCAAATCTGTCTTTGTAGATTTCCCTGGAGAACTGTTTAGGTAGCTGACAACTTACCTTCCCTTTCCCAGCTATTCTAATAAGTCTAATAAAAGATATTACCTTGATCTGTAAATCTTTCCTCTATAGACTGGAGCAAATCACATATATGTGTTGACCATGTAGCTGTCTTGGAACAGTTATGTTAATCTCAGTCTCTGTGGATTTTTTTCTCTAGTTCCAGGTCATTATGTTGTAAGATTCCTATAGATTGACTAGAAATGTGGTAAGAAGTACCATTCTTCCACAGTATTAGCATCTTCTCTAACAAGATATTGTTTAAAATTAAGAACCAAAAAAACAAAACACCATCCCCTTTACCTCCCCCAACCATATATTTATTCCTTACTTTCCAGATGTATCAGCTGGAGAGCTTATAAATCCACCAAAAACTTCTGAGGAAGTGGATAAAGAAGCTAGAGAAGGACATGATCTATATATTGTGTCACATAATGATTATTATATGGGTAAGTTCAAAGAATTAGAAGAAACCGCATAGAAAGTTCTGATATAAATAAAGGTAATTGTTCCTCCTTGTGACTTCAACACATATAGTATGCTGTTTTTTGAGATATAAGCTATTACTTTATCTACTGTATTAATATAACATTATTTTAAAAAGTAATGTAAAAAAATACTTTTATGCAACTGAGAGAGCATGACCTGTTTCTAGAACTGTAGATCATTTCGTGGTGGGTGTATTAGACAGTATAAGAACTTAATGAAGGAGTTGGAAGCTTGATTTCTTTTGAGTGCTATTTGAAAAACAAAGTGTTTCCAGGAAGCTAGAAACTCAGAGATGCCATGGTTTCTTACTGAGTTTGGCATTGTCAGTGCCACCAAGAGTAATCTCAGGCTTAAAGCCACAGGCTGTGAGCCCAACCTATTTCAGTACTTTCATCCCTGGTTCTTCTCTTTTATCAGGATCCAAACATAATTTCAGGGCAGCAAGATTTTCTGCTGGGGAGCTCAGCATCAAGCTCTGGTTACAAGGAATTTCGGGCTGCTGACTGGCTCTCTGGAGTGCAGGTTTCTCAGCCTACACCATCCTGCCTATGAGTCTGCCCCACAGGCTCCATCTCTGCCCTTCCAGTGGGCTGTGCCTCCACTGTTTCAGCTTCTGGGGGCTGTACTTGTGTGAAGTGGTCTGCTCAGGGATGGCTACCCTTTATCTCATAGGTCTGCACAGGAACAGAGTGACAAATAGCACTCTGAAATGCAGTACATGTATTGCTTTTGCAGCCACTTCTATTTTTCCCAGTTCCATCATTTCCACTTAGGGTGAGACTTATGTTGCTGCTCAATAAGACTATTGTTATAATAAAATTGCCCATTGCACTGTACCAACAGTTTTGTAGGTGTAGGCCAAACATGTAAGAAACTGCAATACAGATATTTTGGTTTTAAGGAAGCAGTTACATAGAAGTGAAATTATAGTACTATGTTCTCTCACTGAGAAATTCTACTACAAGTATTGGTATAAATTGGCCAAACTTGTAATTTTATTTCCCCTCTTCCCCACCTTTCTTAGGTGTTTTAGTGGAATTATTCATTATCTGTTTCTGTCTCCTTTTCAACTTCCATCCACAAGATCATGGAGAGGCCAAGCCAAAACCAGACAGACGGACAGAAAAAAAAAAAAAGTCAACTATGTGCCCCAGTTTGGAACATAAAAACTCCATGCTGCCATATAGCCAGAGGGAGTCTTTATTAGAAAGCAAGCAGTGAATAATATTTTTTGAAAGTTCTAATTGCCATTCTTTTAAAAATGTGATTGAAAAGAGCTTGAAAAACATAATGACTTTTTTTTCTGTGACAAGAAACATGTGCTTGCAGCTCATTTACACATAGTACTTACCTTGTACGTGAAACTTCATTTTATAGTCAGGACTGGATTAATAGATTCATGAACAAGTAGGGTAATACCTTGTTTACAGTGAAGTCAGTGGCAAAATTTCCATTGAAGTCAATGTAGCAAGAGTGTATCTGAAAGTGTAGCACCTCAAAAACATTTTTTTATTTTAGTCTTTTTTTTAACAAATTGTAAATTAAATGGTATGCATCTCTGCTCTGGTATGGACATTAAAAAGTGATTTGTTTGCATGACCCTCATTACTTAGGCTACCTGGTATTTTTTCATTCTCTTGGGCTTGTCTTTAGTCAGGCATAAAAGGATATCCAACTATTTTACCACTGAAGCAGTTTTTGCATTTTATTTTGCCTTTTATCTTTACTTTTTACAATTAACTACTTAATAAACACAGGGAATAGAAATCAGTTATCTTTAGTTGAACAGAATTCTTAATCAGTTATTTGCTTTTGTTTCTTCATTGTTTTGTCTTAAGAATGAAGATACTTAGTACAATTTTCTTCCTGAAGTGTTTTATATAGGTTGAAATGCTTACTTTTTCCACAGGGGAAGCAATAAATAGGAAGTATGACTCTCCAAACTTCAGCAAATCTTTTGTTTATGGAATAGAAACCCCTCACTTTAAAGATGGGCGAAGTGTATCCAACTCCTTAAATTGGCTCTATGATCTGCAATCGTAAGTTGTAGTGGGTTAACAAGTTAATTGGTGGTGTGAGTTCTCCAGAAGAGTGAGTCTTCATATTCAAAGATAATTTTACATCTCACAATCCCATTCTTAGCTATATTGAACTGAAAAGAAAATGCAAAGAGTAATTTTCGGAAGAGTTTATCCAAATCAGTTCTACCATAATATAACAGCACTTGGCATGTCTTCAGCATTACATAAAGACACTTTTGATTTTAAATAGCAAGATCTTTCAATTACTACATTTGTGTTTGTCTTGCAGAGGAGTTGCTGTTTTCTTCTAACATATGATAATATTTTTTTAATATTATTGAAAAATTGTTGAATATTGTTAAACAAATATGTATGACAATTATTTTCACAATTTGTAGGAAGAGAGCAGCAAAAATCATATCAAAACGAAGTGATGATTTCAAGGAAAAATTTCAACCTCAACTTGGAAAAGTCCTTGATCCGTAAGTAAGCAAGGATACCTTCCAAGAACAAAATTCAATCGTGTTTGCCAAGTATCCAGTATCTTTTTCTGTCTTGGGTTAAAATTATAACTGTGTGCTCAGTGCTTCCGCTGCAGCAGTCAATTACAGAAAGCGACTTTCTACTTGCCCTGTTAGGCTGGTAAGTACCCAAGTTACTAATGAGGGCTGTATTGTGTCTATGTGGTGAAGTTAAGTCTTACTGTTTAAGTGGTCTATACCTGAATTGATCAAATTTGCACCAACCAAATTACAAGCACACCATAACACTTCATTTTTTTCCTTGTCTTTTGCAGTTAGGAAGGTTTGAAAGAACTGAAATGTCTCACCTATTGTTTGGAGATTTGATCATTTCACTCTGACACAATTTTTGGTCATCTTTGTTATATCATCTGTATTCTTACTTTATTACTACCTTGGAAAAGGACATGGAACTAAATAGTGTTATTATCTAGCAGCATGTATCAATCGCAGTTAAATCATTACAATTCTACATAAACCGTAGGTGATCTGGAACAGCTTTTTAATTTTACAAAACAGTGCTCATGAAGGGCTACAGTAGTCCTAAGATACTGTGTATTCAGGATCCATCTGTGCTACAAATCTAGGGTTCCTGAATGTATACAAAGACTGTCTTTGCATATGCTCTAGATTTCTGCAAAATTGTATTTGAAGACTCACAAACAACATTATTGACTTTGGTTTCAAAGTTTAATTTTAAGCTCAAGATCGCAGACTTAAGTGACTCTGGAGAACTATGCCCATAGTACCTGTATGGAGTGAAAACAAATGTGAACCCGTTTCTCCTCCCCCCTTCACTGTGTCCTAGCTTATTGTGAAGTAGACCTGGAGTGTGAGCAACATGAGGCAGTATGATCAGTCAGGGAATATGGGTTGCAGTGCAAGCTCAAACCCAGCACTAATATTACAAGACAGATACAAGACAACCTAATTTTATTTAGTGAATTTTACACCATCCACATTCTATGCATAATATGAAAATGATAGAAGAAAAATACACATAGTAGTTTTTAGATTACAGTGCTTCCATGTCTGTGTGGATTTTTTTTGTTTGTTTGTTTTATGTTTTAGAACAAAGCACTGATTGTCTTTTCAATTTTGATGGAGATTTCTGATTCATGTAACAGTTTTAATTATTAAATATAGATATAAAATGAACATTGCATCTTTTTCAAATTAAGAAACAAGCAAACAGTTCTTTAATGTCACCAGCAGCATCCTCATTTTCTGGTAAGTAAAACTAGGCCAAGTTTTCCAGGTGGTTATTGGCTTGGTTGCTACTTTTGGTAGACACATAATTGCATGTGAAGAAGCAGAGATGTGATTCAATTTTTCCACTTTCTCCAAAAGTAGTTTATTTGGAGACATTATTTCAGATGGAGATCTGGTTTGCCCTAAACATTCCTACTATTTGACAAGTATGTTACAAGGACTTTTCTCACTCATTTCTATCGTGTTAGAAAAGAAAATATTTTAGCATAGAATGTTTTTCCTTTTATAATGTTCAACATAGAATGTTTTTCCTTTTATAATGTTAAAAAAGTTAATGTTTACATTTGGTTGTGTTATGTTACAAACAGCAAATGTTCTAAATGGGTTTATAAAGGGATGCTTTTGCGGAATGGCAACTTTGAAGCAAAGTACTGATAAACACATTTCAAGTGAACATGTGTATCATCCCTAATTATGTAACAGATGATCACTTCTTTTTCGTAATAGCATAGGGCTTATTTTTGGCTATTAATAAACTATTCGACAATTAACAGAGAAATGTGCTTATTGACAGTATAGCAGAAACCATGAATGTTCCTCCAGGCCATACATTTGGAATGTTACTCCGTCCAGATGAATATGGTAAGGTCAGGGGCAGAACAAAATCTTATCTTGTTGATGAGACTATGCTAAAGTAATTACTCTTGGTTGTGTAGTGTATAATTTTTCTAAAATCTTAGAGACAAGGTGCAAAAATTTAACAGTGACTAGATTTTTGGAGGGAGAATTTGGGAAGAATTGAAGTTGATAATGGGAAAAATATGAATGCCAGAAATAAAGGAACTTTAGTTTCTGGATGGTAGTTTTTGTTTTTTTGTTTGTTTCTTCATTTTAAAGACTTTATATCTGAATGTAAACAAAATGGGAAATGGCAGAAAACTCATATTGACATCTAAGTAATGAAGTTAAAATGGCTATTTAAGCAATTACATGTCTTTCCTCTCAATGATTTTTCTAGCACTTCTATAAATAGAGTAAAAATAACAAGCAATAAATAATAAGTTTTTGAAGGTAGCAGGGAGACAGAAAACAATGAAAATTAAAAAATATGAATGAAAATTATGTCAACGCAGTCAATCTTGGAATTGATGTTGTTTTAACACTATGTTAAATACAGTGAATATTAAGGCAGCAAAAAATGTGCGTGGCTCAAAGTTATTTAATTAGTCAAGACCACAGAAGTCTTACTCAAATTCTGCATAAGCTTTTGTACATGCTTTACTAGGTAGTGTAATAAAATTAAGTATTTTAAATGTGTAGGTATGTGTGTCTTATAAGGGACAGCAGAAGGAACTGAACAAAAAAAAATAGTTATTAACAAGTAGAAAATAGTGCTTGTACATTGCTGTTAGAAGGGGATTAGGTGAGCTACTCCTATTTGTTATTGTACACTGAATGAACTTCTTGCACTCTAGAAAGGGACCTTGGTGTCTTGAGGTCTTGGATGAAGACTGTAGTTCAGTGCGCCAAAGTGTTTAAAAATACTAATAGAGTTAGGATACGTAGAAAATGGGAAAAGTAACACAAAAATAGTACATTGTCTTTCTAGAAATCAATGGTATATAATTATCTGAAATATTACATTGACTTTTCCATTGGTTCTTGTAAGTATCTGAAATACGACAGACTGGAAGTGATAGATTAGTAATATATGTTCTTCTGCTCTCAACTATTTGGACATTGAGTAACTTACCGCTGTCAGAAGCTTTTGGAAGCAGGGGATGGATTTGTGAAGCTATAGTAAGATGTTTCAAAATTTTTCATATTAACTGCATGTAAGTAGAGAAATTATCATACGGACCATTTGATCTTTTAATGAAATGGCTGTATCAAATGTTCATCAGTGCTGAAAAATCAGATCACAAAACTAAAATTGTCCTTTTCCCCTAAGTCTGTAAGCCATTTCTTTAAAATGTCCATTTTCTGTATATGAGCAACTAATTGAGTAAGTGTTTATTTTTATAGGAGTTGGTGATCTTCTTCATTGCCGGGTTCCATGTGAGGTCCTCCATGGTAAAGACAGAGAGAGAGCTGTCTTGGCTGCAGTTCGTCAAAGCTTGAAGAAAGCTAACTATGAGAATTTTGACATGTTACTAGAAGCATGCAGGCATTATGATAAGGTTAGTGCTTTGAAAAAGTATAAATGTAAAGGAATGTGTGACATTAGCTCTCCTGTGCTGTGGACATAGAGACATGAAGAAACACAAGTATAGCAAGGCAAAATAGATGAAGACTGTAAAAGACTGTAAAAGCAAGGTAACTTCATAGTTACTGTGTGTTTAAGCTGCTGTGATATGCTGTGGAATTAAACAGAGCAGTATTTGGAATATCCAAGTTAACAGTGAGCAAGAGACATGTGAGCAGGAATAATCTTAGCATTTTTTGCTCTTCAAAATTTGATATTTCTTCTTAAAATGGTTGAAGGAATTATGTTCATATTTTCTTCCAAGCTGTACTTTTTGACTGCATCACCAAGCATCAGAATTTCAGCTCTTTTCTTTTTGTCTCTCTGGGGAAAAAAAAAATTGACATTTTACATATAACATTAATTGTAATGTATACAGAATGATTGATACCTTACTTTCAAAAGAAATCTTGGCTTTGCCTCAACATTTATTAGGTTGTTATCTTGTCACAATAGCCTATCACACTTTTTTACTCTCAAATCACTCTATTGTTGAAGTTGAAAATTATTTATTGACACTTCTATATTCAGATCTTAATTTCTGAATTACTCAGGGTTTCTTTTTGTACTCAGCAATGTTACTCTTCTGAAACGGTGTGCCGGCACACATATATGTATGTGTTCCTTTTGGTGGACCCTTTTTATAATGGCTGTTACAACAACTTTTATTTTATTTATAATAGAATGGTGATGGAATGATAGGCAAGGATGACCTACGGAAGTCCTGTTTTCAGCTTAATTTGAATCTAGATGAGGAGCTGCTGGATTCCTTATTTGACTACTGTGATTTAGATAAAGGTGGTCTGATTAATTATTTGGAGTTTGCAAACTTTCTGAACTGGAAAGACAAAATGGCTGTTAAAGAGTTTGAAGAAAAAATAGTTACAAAAGGTAGGTGGTACAATACTGGGAAATTATGGAGATGATCTTGTTCTTAGAATACCTATTGAAAGGACATTACTGTTGCAGACAAGGTGCTCCTTCAGAAGAGTAGGATTTAGAGAGTGCCTTTAGTCCTTGCCTGCCACCAGCAGAGCCTCAGATACAAATGTATTTCAGAACCCTGGAGTTCAGTGTTGCATGTTGAGAATGTCCCATAAATCAGCAGAAAGTAAGAAATCTCTTTAGAATCATTATCAGAAATGCAGATTAATTTTGTTACCTACTTTATAGTTTTTCAAGGATTCAAGCAATGGTTTTTACCTCTTAGTCTATAATGTGCTGATAATAAAACCTGGCTGTACCATAACTTTTGTTTGTAGGGAAAAAATTAGATGCTTCTGTTATGCCTGAAGACACAAAGATAAAAGATGAGCCACTGCTGAAGCAGGAAGATCTTGTGTTAAAAGAACTGGGAAGCTCAGAGAAGACACCAAAAACACTTAAAAGATCAACAGATCATGTATTTGCAAATTACCAAACAACAACTTCTCAGTATAATGCTGTAGTAGGTGGTCTCCCAACAACCTGTAAGTACAGTGGACTGTACTTCTCACTTCTGAGCATTATTTAAGACAAAATCAAGAATGAGTTAAAAAAGTATTGCAAAGGTTCTACTAATGTACAGTAGTGAATTAATTTATTTAAACTAAGTTTGTTTAGGGTTATGTCTTGGAAATTGGCATGGCTTGGATGTTTGGCATGGTTAATCCATTCAAAACGTGAAAGTTAATCTAGATGTCTGTGAGAAATTATGCTAGTAATTTTAGGAGAACAACATCTTCTTGGAGTCACGTAAAAATGTTTTCAGCTGGAAGTACTGGATATGTGCTAGAATATTACTGCAGGATTTCCTGTTGTCATGCTTCATGATATAGATGAAGCTAGGAATTCTGAAAGTAGGAAAAAAGAGATGAGGAAGAAAATTATATTACTTCTTATAGAACCTATGTGAGAAGAAGTGTCAAATTTATTCTTATTTCATACAAAATGTTTTATCCTTCCTGGCACTATCTTTACATACAGGCTTTTCCATGCTACCTGTTGATTGATTTCCACAGGTTATCCAGTGTGTGGTGTTCCAACTGTTCGTTCAGATATTCCTGCTCCTCGAATTCGCCGCATCAGTGACAGAACTAATTATGGTGATGAGGCCAATGCTTATGCATTATTGTTCCCTTCTGTCTTCAGTCAAAAGGGAGTGTATGAAAGAGACTTTTTTAAAACAAGACCAAAGGCAGAGGTATAGTGCATTTCTTCAGAACATTCTTCCAAGATAAATGTACCTCTAGCCACGTGGGAGTGGAAAGTCGTGTTATCAAATAAACGGCTTGTAAAATTCATTGTTGCAACATTACCATCTTTCTTCACATCCGTTCAACTATCTGAAAAAATATGCACTCTTCATGTTCAAAATTATTCATAAAGGTGGTAGATATTAATTTTTTTGAGATATAACTTCAATAAGTAATATAAGTATGTCAGGTTGTTGCTACTCACATGCTCAAATGCTGTGTCAAACAAGGGTTAGTAATTAATCTAGGGCTTTGAGTCTATGAGTCTATGACTCATCATTCTGCAATGTGAGAAGAGCAGAGCAATTGTGAAATTTCCATCTTGGACATACTCAAATTTCTGAGCAAGGTTCCAAGCAACATGGTTTAACAGCAAAGTTAGCCCTGCTTTGATTATGGTTGGATGGATGATCTCCAGAGATCTCTTCCAACCTAAGTTAGTGTATGAGTAGATGTCTTAAAAAGCCCCACAAGAAGCATTTTACTGGTGTGTAAGACTAGTTTCTATCACAGAGTGATGGTCAGTGGAAAATTTTACCCAAGATGTCTCTCCCTGAACAAACTTGCAGGTTTTGCTAATGGCAAACTCAGCAACCTCCTTGAATATATCTTTTAAGTGCTGAGTCAAGGTCAAAGGCTCAGATCTGCAAAGGACTTGTAGAGTGATAGAGGATGTAGGGAGTCACACACCAGTGCTGTGCCATCTCATATTTCTGAAGAGAAAGATAGGATGTGAGACTGTAGGGACTTATGTGGGGGCTCTGTGATTTTTCTGCCTGATATCACTGTGGGCTGCTACCACTCTGTTATCTCACAGCTCAGAGTTCTCCCCACATAACCATGAAAACAACTTTGCTCCTTCTTCAAAATTGTTTACTTTTTTGCTTCTACATTTGTATGCATTTTCTGGTGAAAAAATAATAAGAGATAACTTCACTACTTGAAATACAGTTTATGAGACAATTGTAACAAAATGTGACATTCCAATCTAAAAAGAAAAAAGAAGCGTGACAACCTCTCCCTTTATACTAGTTGTTATATTAAATATTCAGTCACATTTGAAAGTGGATCTGGAACTCGAGTATATATTTTACAGAAAAGAATGTTGCTAATTAGTGGTTGGGGTTGTAAAAGGTGTGGTGTCATGTTCTATACATGTGCATAAAATGGCTTGTCAGAATGTTGTGTACATGAGCATTTACCATTTTATAATCTAGCTCTGAAGCAGGAAATCAGTAAATGCAGAATATAGCTAACAGTAAGTAGAATTCATGCTTCATTGAGAAGCCCATTATACCTGTCAAGCACTAGATAGAACTTCTCTGAAGTTATAATGGGGCCTGAGATGTTATACTCTGTTGTAGACTGTACAGGTTATACAGAGTTCAGTACAGAACCACCTCTGTGTATTGGTTAATCACATGTGGTTAAATCACCCTATACTTATGAAATGGGCTGTTTCAGTGTTTTAGTGATGGTCTTTGATTTATTTTGATATGGAGCGTTAATATTTTCAAACATGTAATAGCTAATGAAATTATTATATGAAAGCCCAGAGTCATTTAATACTATTAGTTTTTGCATAGGCCTGTAGAAATGAATGCAAATTTGACTGTAAAGGATTTTCATGAGGTGACTCTTCATGTTAGAAAAGAACAAAATAGTTCCAGGGCCTGCTGTTTTCTTCACTGGAATTTGTCCTAGTATATTGAAGAGAATAGAAGTTATGTAACTGAGTAATAGTGTGTAATTTATATTCAACATGATCACATTGGTAATAGGTAAGGGTCAGTTTAACTCCTTCTTCACACTTAATAGTCTGTGGTTTAGTCAGTGATTATTTTATGGTTGTTGATGAGCCTGGACAGAGTTGTATTTTAATATGGTGAAACCAAGTTATGAGAGCATGTGGTTCTTTATGATCCCTGCAGTGGTATCCTGTAATTGAATATTGCTTGTAGTTTAACTTTTAAATTTCACTGGTTTGTTGAAGACATTAGATCAAATCTGGATATAATTGTATCCAGATATGTATATAATATATAAAAATATATTATCAATATAATATAATATTGATTTAACTGAAACAAGACCTATGCTTAAAGAAACAAAACTTAGTCCATGTTTTCCTCCTGTAATTTCAGCAGACATAAACTGTCATAGATTTATTGGCTAAGATGAAGCTGCAGATTTGTTGTACTGTGGATCAGGCCTATATTTATACATAAGACAGTTTTAGTGAAAGATGACAAACAAGGTTGATTTGACTGTGTTAAAGGTCTTACTTTATCAAAGCATGCATAAAATCTCCAGAGCATAAATATAACACGTGCACACACACTCGGTACAAATGAAGAAGCCAAACATGTGCTTATACTAAAAGAAGCACAAGTCATGTCAATATTCTTCTAAAGCTACCTTCCTCTAACGAGTCAACAGGTCAGTGTAATGAGACATGCAGCAGGAAGCATCCAAGTGAGAAAGTATGGAAAAAAATATTTCTGCTGAATTACTTTGGTGTAAAACTATAGCAAGATCCAAAGTTGATGTGAACCATTCAAACCTCACCCATTTATCTATACCAACTGAAGATCTTGTGTATAGCATTCTTGCTGTGAAATGAAGACAATAATGTAATCTGGTTTATGTCAATAACTGCAAACCATAAAAATACAATGGATAAACAAGACTTGACTTAGGGCTTTAAAAAAATGTTTACTTTTCCCTGAATCTTCTGTGTTTGATTTTTCCAATGTTGTAGTTGTATCAATATTACTTTATTAACTAAGGATAATTTTGTACACCACAGCTTTCATCCCAATAAAATTCAGATTTACTTAAGTAGGAACTTCGGTTAAGGATGCAGGATGTTTTTTAGTTCTTATTTAAGAGTGGGAAAATATTCTTCAGCAAATAGAGATTGCTAATATATGTAAAAGCCAGACTCTATAGTTGAAGGAAAATGCTGACCAGAATTACATGAATTGTATTATTTTGTAGATTGCACAAATTCTCCGCAACATTGGTGTGAACATTTCAGATGAAAAGTTTGAAGAGATATGGAAGCAAGCCTGTATGAAACATCAGAAAGAAGAGGTTTGTGTAGAAAGCATCAGGAATGTACTGTATGAAATACATGTATCACACACAAAAAACAGTAGCTAATTCTAGTCTTCGGGCATGGCATTTATTTAAATTGACATCAGTCAGAATTCTGATGCTGAATACAATAAACATTTGAAATAAGGTGTGTTTACAGAACTGGAATTCACTGTTTATTGTCTTTCTGAATAGTGGGTTCACCACATATATATGAATCTTTCTGCTATCACTGCAGTTAGTAGGAACTGATATCCATAGGAATAAAAGAGGATACAGCATGTTTGTGAATGGAAGTAAAATATTTATCTTATATTCTTTATTTTATTTTTTTTACAGTGTTTCTAAGTCTAAATAATAATACTTTAAGTATGGACACATTTTTCATTTTTTGATTTATTTTTTTCTCTTATAAACAGAAGGACACTTTTGAAAGTACTTAAGATAAATGTTTCAGATATGCAAGACCTCTTAAAGGTCATTATCATAGAATGGCATCTTGCCTTGCTTCTATATTCCATAATTTCTTGTCAACAAGGAGATCTGGTTGTGGTAAGTTACTTGCTATGTTTAAAAATTTGTGTGAGAAAGTGCCTTACAGCAAGATACTAAGGAAATTACATAGTCATGGGTGTGGGATCTAAACTGTTCTCGAGATCGACTGCATAAGAACCAATTGACTATGAAGTACAAAATTAGATGCCCAGTTGTGTGGCAGAGGGCTCATATTCTTTATGCAAGCTTCTGGCTATTAGGTAGTAGTGTTCGGCTTTCACAAGCAAGAAAAAAAGAATGGATATTTAGAGGTATGTGTACCTTACATAAAAATACAGGCTAGGTAGTCAGAAAAGTTTGGGAGGGCCTTCAGAGAGCTAACTGTTCACCAGTGATCAATGCAATTTCTTGGGAAAAGGGGTCTTCATAAATGAAAAACACTTGAGGGTCATTATGGAAATCTCAATGAATACCCTATTTTTGAACCTAATGTAAAGATACCTGCTTTCATTCCTCTACTTTCAGTAGAATCTTTTTCTTTGTCAGTGAAATGGAATTAGCATTGTTCTTGGACAGTCTGCTAAATGAGTGCAGAATAAAGAAGACTTATAAATCGTAGTTTAGTTTTTTGCCCAGTATGTTTCTAACCACAGACTAAAGGTTTCCTTTTGAACTTGGGTTTGAAATGAGCTGGAAGTGGTGTTCACCTAAACGTACCTCTCCTGAAGCTTTAAAGGATTAATCACAGAACAGAGCTGTAAATTCTACTTGTAAGTGCTTGTTTTTCATCACCATATACATATAGGCCTTGAAAAATATAATCACTGTGACACAGACAGTTACTTCTGTGGAGTTTCCCAGTCCCTGTGTTTCTTTTTGTTAAATGCTTTATGCACACAGTCATAGTGCAGATTTTTGTATTTTCTTTTTGTTTGACTTCCCAACATGTGTGAATTCAATGACATATTTATAGGCTTTAGAGCTGCAAGTTCTAATCTGTGACTGACTTTCAATACCTGAAAACACTTACCTGTAAAAGATAAAGCTGAAGATTTGAATGTGCCAAATTATTTTTTATTTGTTCTATATTTCTATCTCTTAATCTTTAGAATGTGAATATTAGCACGGATAAGCATACAGCTAATATGACTTATTTGGCAGTGACTTGTGCTATGTAAAGCAGGTGTTGGACTCGATTACTCTTTTTATTGTGTAATGGAAAAAATTGTCTGTGCAATGGCTTGTGTTTGAGATGCTGAAAGATCCAGCCTACTGTCTTCCATAGAACTGTATGTACAAATAAATGTAGACCTTGCCTTGATATTATTATTACATAACTTTAATATATGTCTTTAAAATATTAATTTTTTTCACCAGTAAATTAAGATTACTAAGGATTGCTGTTTTTCAGTGATTCACCAGGCTCAAGTAAATTTCCTGGTCCAGGAACTCATTCTTAGAAGTGAATGGCCAGTTTTGTTTAGTCGGTTGTTTTGATTTTTAAACAACTGTATTTAATTATTTGGGTACTAAATAGAATGCTAATAACCCTTTATAATAAGAAGAATACTTCAAATATGTGTCTAAGCAGAAAAGGAGTTATTGGGGCAGAGTGCCCAGAAATATGATCTAAGTCTTCATCTTGCCAACAGATATGAATAGGTAGGATATTTTTGGAATGGCTTATACAGCCTAATTAGTTGGTGTTTGCCATTAGGAGGTATTTCTTTGGAAACGGGTTATTTGCATTTGACAGTCTGTCATTTGGCACCATCTGCCTGTGTGGTTTCACCTTGCTGAATGGCCAGAATGCCTTTCTAGCAGATGGGTATGAGTTCAAGCATGCCAAAGAACCACTAAATGCTACATGACTGAGTAGTTGGGATAGAATCTGTATTTCTTTATATCTCTTTAAAACTATAACTGTGTTCACCATAGACGACCAGACCAAGAAGAAGAAGTAGATGAAGCCTTCTACAAACAACTAGAAGTAGCCTCAAAAACACATGCCCTGGTGCTTATGGGTGACTTCAATCACCCAGATATTTGTAGGAAAGGCCACACAGCTAGGCACACACAATCCAGAAGGTTCCTGCAGTGCATCGATGACAACTTTCTGATGCAGGTGATGGAGGAGCCAACAAAAAGTGTGCTGCTGGACCTTGTATTAACAAACAAGGAAGGACTGGTTGGGGATGTAAAGTTTAGGGGTAGCCTTGGCCATAGTGATCACAACATGGTAGAGTTCAGTATCGAACAAGGAAGAAGCAGGGCCATAAGTAAGATTGCGACCCTGGACTTCAGGAGGGCTAACTTCATCTTCTTCAAAGACCTACTTGGAGGTATCCCGTGGGCTAGGACTCTAGAACATAGGGGAGCTCAAGAGAATTGGTTAATATTCAAGCACCACTTCCTCACAGCTCAAGATTGGTGCATTCCTTTAAGAAATCAAGTAGAGGAGGCAGGAGGCCTCCATGGATGAGCAAGGAGCTGTTGGAAAAACTTGTATGGAAGAAAGGAATTTACAGTACGTGGAAAAAGGGACTGGTCACTTGGGTGGGCTATAGGACTGTTGTCAGGATATGCAGAGGTGCAACAAGGAGGGCCAAGGCCGTCTTGGAACTAAATCTGGCGAAGGAAGTAAAAGAGAACAAGAAGGGCTTCTTCAAGAATATCAGTGGTAAAAGGAAGACTAGGGAAAATGTGGGCCCTTTGGTGAATGAAATGGCAGAGAAGAGGCAGAGAAGGCAGAGTTACTGAAGGCCTTTTTCACTTAAGTCTTTACTGCCAAGATTACTCCTCAGGAGTCCCAGACCCTGGAGATAAGCAAAAAAACCTGGAGGGAGGAAGATTCTCCACTGGTTGATGAGGGTTAGAGATCATTTGGCTGAACTGAACACTCAGAAATCCATGGGCCCTGATGGGATGAACCCACAAGTGCTGAGGGAGCTGGCTGATGTTCTTGCAACACCTCTCTCCATCATTTTTGAAAAATCATGGAGAATGGGAGAGGCGCCTGAGGACTGGAGGAAAGCCAATGTCACCCCAGTCTTCAAAAAGGGCAAGAAGGAAGACTTGGGAAATTATAGACCTGTCAGTCTCACCTCCATCCCTGGGAAGGTGATGGAACAGCTCCTTCTGGAGGCCATCTCTAGGCGCAGGGATGAAAAGAAAGTTATCAGGAGTAGTCAGCGGAGTTCGTGTTTGACCAATCTGATAGCCTTCTGTGGTGGAGTGACTAGCTGGGTAGATGAAGGGAGAGCAGTGGATGTGATTTACCTTGACTTCAGTAAGGCTTTTGACATCATCTCCCATAACATCCTCATAGTGAAGCTCAGGAAGTATGGGTTGGATGAGTGGACTGTGAGATTGATCAAGAACTGGCTAAGCAACAGAGCTCAGAGGGTTGTGGTCAGCCGCGCAGAGTCCAGTTGGAGGCCTGTAGCTAGTGGTGTTTCCCAGAGATGAGTATTGGGTCCGGTTTTGTTCAACATCATCAATGACCTAGATG